CAGTCGAACGAGGAAGAGGAGGGCGAGGAGGGGATTGGAGCGCGGAGGCAGAATACGAAGGTGAAGACAGCGAGGACGAGGAGGAGGATGAGGAGGGGGAGGAAAAGGATGAGGAGGAAGAAGAGGAGGAGGGGGAGGAGGAGGAGGAGGAGGAGGAGGAGGTGCAGGTCGAAGAAGTCTGACGAGGAGGCGGAAGACGAGGAGGAGGAGAGGTGGAGGAGAAGGAGGTGGAGCTGGAGGAGGAAGTAAGAAAACATCAAGAGACGGAAAAAAGGAAGGAGGAGGTCCCTACTCATCCGCTGAGCAATCTTCGGGCCTCGTGGGCCGTTTTGGGCAGAGTGTATCGACGAAGAGAGTGCACCGAACACATTACGTCCCCGGCAAAATCAATGGTTTTTGTTTCTCGGAACACTTGTCAGGGGCTTCGGGCGTCATCTGGAGCCTGCCCGGTTCCGCCCTGGCGCCTCCTTGAGGCCTCCGGGGAGCCGCACCACCATGATAACATCTTTGAGTGGCTCATTCTGGCTGTCCCTCGTGGTTTGCAGCCTCACTTGAAGTACCCTTGCAACCTCCACGAGGACTTCATCACGGTCCCAGACACCATGTTCCCGGGGAGCCTTCCGGGAACATGACTGTCACCGCCTCTGTTGCACGGCGACCGAAGATGAGGACGACGGCCCGCGCCGTCCCACCGAGCATCCCAATTCAGCGCAGCGCCTTGCCGTTGCCTTTTCCAGCTCCTGCCGTTCTTCAATCGAAACCTTGCGCCTCCCCCATATCCCTGCCAAGCTTCACTCACCACCATTTCAACCTTTGCATCAGTTTCCACCGGCCCTTCCTTCGGGCTTACATTGGAACCGAGGGCCCCAAAGCAACCCACCTCATCATGTTCCCGGGGAGCCTTCAGGGAACATGCTTGTCGTCACTTGCCGATTAGAAGACTTAAGAGGAGGAGGAGGAGAAGGAGGAGGAAAAGGAAACGGAGGAAGAAAAGGAGGAGGAAGAGGAATAGGACCCCCTTTTGCGTGCACAACGGCTGGCAGCTCCCTGGAGTGACTTTTCGTGCGCGGCGGTCGGGGTGCGCGGGGGGACCACGCCCGAGCGCGCAGGCGGCTGCTGCCGCGCCACGCGCGCCGACCTGCGAGCCGCGCACCAAGGGGCCACTCATGCCCAGGGGGCACTCCTGCGTGCCGCTGGTATCCCCTCCCTCTGCCTCCCCTCCCCTCCCCCCCTCCCCTTCCCTTGCCAGCCTCCCCTCCCGCCTTCCCTCTGCCTCCCCTCCCGTCCCTTTGCCGTCCCCCCCACCTCTCTTTTCCTCCGCCTCCCCTCCCCTCCCTCTGCCCGCCTCCCTCTCCCCCCTCTGCCTCCCCGCCCTTGCCGCCCCCCCACTGCCTCCCAGCCGATTTCCGTCCCTCTGCCTCCCCTCGCCTCCCCTGCCTTTGTGTGGTCCTTCATGGGGGCCTCCGAGGATTCCATATTCTTGGCGGGTTTGGCGGGTTTGGACGAAACCTGGGCGACGTTTGGACGAAAGGGTTCAGGCGGATGGTCAGATCTGGGCGACGTTCGGTCGAAACTGCGTCTGTGATTGGGCCGCGGAGCTCCACAGAGGCTTTTGTCAAGGCCCACGTCGTCCGCCTCCCCCTCCTGCGCTTCCGCCCCCGTCCGCAGACCCTGGGCATGTACGCGTTCCTGTTCATCTCGGTCCCGGAGATCCAGATACTGAAGAGCATGACGATCGTGATGGTGTTGTTTTTCGCTTGGCTCCTCGTCAATGAGCGCCCTTCGCGCTCGTCACCCAGCTCCCTTTCACATTCGCCGAGCGTGCTTGGGTCCACTGGGATGAGATGGAGTCCATTCATAAGTCGATATAGCTGCGATGTTAACATGTACGAGAAAGAGGAGGACGATTCGATGCACGCCCGTGCATGTCGTATACAATACATAAACGCGCACCGAATACCGCTTTACGTTGCATTACGATGTATGTTGCTCTGGCCTGTGCTGCATTGCGTTCCGTTCGATTGCTTTGCACCGCATGGTACAGAGTGGTAAGCTTTAAAACTACACTGCATGATACGGCGTATGCTGTTACATCATGCAAGAAAACACCCAGCCTGTAAACGTCTCTTTACAGGTCCTCCATGCCCGCTCCCTTTCTCGGTTGTTTATCTATGTTTCTCTTTCGCTTTCTCTCTCTCTCTCTCTTTCTCTCTGGCTTTGTCTCTCTCTCTCTCTCTCTCTCTCACACTGTCTCCTTCATGTGCTCGTTTTTGCACGCTTTTCCCGTCTCCATTTGTTTGTTTGCGTACGCAGTCAACATCCATGTATTATGTTGCACCTGTGTCTGCATCTCCGACGGCTTTGTATCAGCACGGCACGGCACCAGCGAGCACCCGCAACTCTCCGCCGTCCCCGCAACCAACCCATTTCCTCCTCGCGCATCCCAGGTCCTCCTGGCACCGGAAGCCCAGCTCCTCCTCGCCCCCCAAACCAGGGCACCTACCCCCCCTGCCCTCCCGCAGCCAGCCCAGCCCCTCTTTGCTCCCCAGCCAGCCCGCCCCCTCCGCCCCGACCATTTTATTCCGGCACGGCACGGCACCAGCACTGGCACCGCGCCCCCCTTCCCCCCGCAGCCAGCAGCTCCTCCTCCTCGCTCCCCGCAGCCAGTCCAGCTCCTCCTCGCCCACCCAGCCAGCACGCCCCCTCCGCCCCGACCAGTTTGTTCCGACACGGCACGGCACCGGCACCGCGGCTCCCACTCCCCCCGCCCCGCAGCCAGCCCAGCTCCTCCTCCTCGCCCCCCCCGCAGCGGGCCTATCTCCATCTCGCCCCCCAGCCAGCGCGCCACGACCACATCATTCCCGCACGACATGGCACGGCATTGGCATCGGGGCCCTTCCCTCTGCCCCGCAGCCAGCCCAGCTCGTCCTCCTTGCCCCCAGCTCAGCTCCTTTGCGCCCCCGAGCCATCGCGCCCCTTCCGCCCCGAACGCCTTGTTCTGGCACGGCACCGGCACCGGTACCGCGCGCTTCCTTTTCCTGCCCCGCAGCCAGCCCAGCTCCTCCTCGTCCTCCTCGCCCCCCGAAGCGAGCCCATCTCCTCCTGCCCCCCAGCCAGCGCGCCCCCTGTGCCCGAAGCGCTTTATACGGGCACGGCAAGGCGCGGCACCGGCACTGGCACCGCGCCCCCCAACCCGACATTTTGAGCCGTCGGGTTAGGTTGGGGTGGTTTAGCAGGTACGGTGGGCGCGTTCGTTAAGGGATGTGTCTAGGAGGCTGCAGACCCTGGAGGGTTCATTCCTTATCTGATGCGGGCGGCGGAGATACTGATGGACAATCCACGATTGCATCTCCGCTGGCTTCCAGACCTTGGGTTTCTTATCTAAGCGTTCCTTGCCCACTGCCCCCAGCGAAGTCACAAACGGCACTTCCGGTCGGACCGAGGTGTAAGATCGAGATGACGCTTCGGGGAGGGCATTCTCCTGCTCTCCGTGCTTCTTGGCTGCCCCTGTGCCCCCTGGGGGAGCGCACCCTCGAATGCTCTTCGAAGGTCTGGCTGGCGGAGGGCCTCCTGCTCCTGCAGCCTGCTCTTCCGCCCCGGGCCCGGCCGTCGTCACCGACCGCCCAGCGGCCCACTTCCCCTGACCTTCCAGAGTGCTTAAAAATAGCCCTCCAGACCTATAGACCGAACTGGGCCGCCTCAAACCTCGACAGGAATTAAGATGTCGAGGTCCTGGTGTTCTCTTTCAGCCCTCCTGGAAGGTCAGGGTCGGGGAGGGCGCTGCGTGCCGGCCTCGGCCCCCCGGGTGCCGGCCGGGCCATGGCTGCTCGGCCGGCGCACGGCGTGCAGCCGGCGCCCCCGCGGGGCGGGGCGGGGCGCTCTCCGCGCGACCGGCGGCACGCCCGGCGGGGGGGCCTCCGCGCCGTGTAGGTCTCTGCAGCGGGGGCCCCCCGCGGAGGCCCGAGGGGCCCGCAGCGGAGGAGGGAGAGGGAGCACCCTCCTCCTCTGCCTCTCCACTCCCCCTCCTCCTCCACCTCCTCCTCCTGCTCCACTCCCCCTCCTCCTCCACCTCCTCCTCTTCTCCACTCCCCCTCCTCCCCTACCTCCTCCTCCTCCTCTTCTCCACTCCCCCTCCTCCTCCAACCTCCTCCTCCTCCACCTCCTCCTCCCCCTCCTCTTCCTCTTCCTCTCCACTCCCCCACCTCCATCTCCTCCTCCCCCGCTTGAGCTATAGAGACTGAGAGACACGTGGCGTCAGTGGTGCTCTTATCTCATCTGGTCCTCCTCGCATCCACCTCTCGTCCTCTTTCTCCCTCCTCCTCCTCCTCCTCCCGTTCCTCCTTCGGCCCTCCTCCAGCGCGACTGGCGCTTCCCAGGGTATTCCCAGGGTGTTCCTTCGATCCCCCTTCTGTATTCCCCACCCCGCCGGTGGATAGGAGAAGGTGAGCAGGCTGCTGGTCTGCTCCGTCCTGGTGATCGCCGGTGGTGTCTGCTTGTCGGCCGCCTACGACAACGACTCGAAGGCCCCCGCGCTCGCTTGCAAGTGAGGGGGGGCAACGCTGCCGGGAGGGACATGAGCAACAGGAGGTAAATCACACAAGCACAGACATAGACACAGACACGTATACAGACACAAACACAGACACAGACATAGACACAGAGACAGACACAGACACAGACACAGAGACAGACACAGAAACAGACACAGACATTGACACAGAGACGACCACCGACAGGGACGCGGACACAGAAACGGGCACCGGCACAGGCACAGACACAGACACGGACATGGACACGGACACAGACACGGACATTGACACGGACACGGACACGGACACGGACAAGGACACGGACACGGACACGGAAACGGACACAGACACAGACACAGACACAGACACAGACATAGATACAGACACATATACACAGACACAGACATAGACACAGCAACAGGAGGTAAATCACACAAGCACAGACATAGACACAGACACATATACAGACACAGACACAGACACAGACAGCATCACAGACATAGGCACAGACACGGACACAGACACAGACACAGACACAGGCACAGATACAAACACAGACACAGATACAGGCACGGACACAGACACAGACACGGACACGGACACAGACACAGACACAGACACAGCCACAGCCACGGATTTGGACACAGACACAGACACAGGCACAGATACAAGCACAGACACAGACACAGGCACGGACACAGACACAGACACGGACACGGACACAGGCACACAGTCACAGACACAGACGCAGACACAGACACAGATACGACACAGACACGGGCACGGACACGGACACAGACGCAGACACAGACAGCATCACAGACATAGGCACAGACACGGACACAGACACAGACACAGACACAGGCACAGATACAAGCACAGACACAGACACAGGCACGGACACAGACACAGACACGGACACGGACACAGGCACACAGTCACAGACACAGACGCAGACACAGACACAGATACGACACAGACACGGGCACGGACACGGACACAGACGCAGACACAGAGACAGACACAGACATTAAGACAGACACAGGCACAGACACAAACACAGACACAGGCACAAACACAGATGCAGACACAGACGCAGACACAGACACAGGCACAGACACAGACACACACACACACACACACACAACATGAACTTACACACACACACACACACGCACACGCACACGCACACGAACGCGCACATGCACACGCACACGCACACGCACACGCACGCGCACATGCACCCGCACACGCACACGCACACGCACACGCACGCGCACACGCACACGCACAGACACAGACACACACACACAGACACACACACACACACGACAGACGACACACACGACGCACACACACAGGCACACACGCAAACACACACACACAAACACAAACACAAACACAATCACACACAACACACACACACACTTTTTGGCGTCGGCGGCTAGGCAGAGGGAGTGCTTTGGCGATCTAGCACTAGTGGGACACACAAAACGCGAATTATGCCGCGGTGCGCGGGGGAAGAAAGAAGCCCGGCGCGGGCGGGAAGGAGAAGGTGGCCGGGTCCGTTCAGAGCAGGGGCAGGCGGCGGCGAGGCGGGCGCCGGGGCCGGGGACCAGCCGCGGCGGCAGGGCAGCAGCTGGGGGCAGGCAGCCAGAAGGCTGCTGGGCACGCGCCCAGGGGGGGGAGGCAGCAGGTCCAGCGCCAGCCGGAGGCAGAAACAGCACAGCGAGGCGGACCGTGGTGCCGAGATCCGAGTGACCTCCAGGCAACCGAGAGCGGACAGCCGGAGCAGACCACCTCGGGTGAGGGGTCGGGGGGGCTGGGGGAGTAGTTACTCTATGTAGTCTCAGCAGACGGGCGAGAGAGGCGTGGGCCAGCCGAGGTGCCGAGATCCGGATGACCTGCGAGGCGACTTGTGGGGGGTGGCCACGCCGGACCGCCCGGCGCGGGGATGTCCAGAGGGCGCGATCGCACGGCCTGGCGTGGAGGCGGCGCCCGTTGACCGACGACGCCGGTGGACCAAACCAGCCAGAGGGGGCGGCCTGCAATCCAGGCGAAGGAGAGGGGGGTGCAGAGGCCGAGGGTGGCCTGCCAAGCACCCGCCCCGGGCGGAGTCCAGAAGGCTTGAAAACCAGGCAAAGCGGCGATGGGGCGCGGGAGCACCGCAGCAGTGAAGACCTGATTCGAGGAGGAGGAGGAGGAGGAGGAGGAGGAGGAGGAGGAGGAGGAGGAGGAGGAGGAGGAGGAGGCGGCAGGTGCGTGCCTGGGGCCAGAATCTTGCAGCAGGCCGGCGATCCAGCCTGCGCATGGCAGGGGGTGCAGCGGCGGGGACATGCCAGGGCCTCCTCCTCGGAGCAGAGCGAGGGCGGATGGAGAGCCGACGACCCTGCGGCCGGGCGGAGACGCAAGCGCGGAAGGGGTGGGGGCGCGGCGGGCACCGAGGCGAGCGGCGCAACCAGTTCATCAGGGCCAAGGCCGAGGCGAGCCCGAAGGCAAGGCGCAGGCCCGCGCGGGGTGGTCGACCGAGAGTCGATCCACGTCGCGCAAGGATGTAGGGGAGAGGCCCGCGATGGGGCGAGCGGGCGGCTCCCGCGGCGCCGCGCGGAAAAGAGGGGCCGGGGCAGGCGGCCGCCCATGGTCACGACGGTTAGGGCGGTGGAGCGAAGGCGGCGAGCGAAGTGCTGCGCCGGGTGGATGTGCCGCTTGAGAGCGGGGAGGTAGCACCGAGCGGGTGCGTCGAGACACGGTATGCGAGGCAGAAGGCCGCGCGCGGAGGGCAGTGGGCAGCGCCGAACAGGTGCGCCAAGGTGCGATGGGAGGCAGGGCGAGACGCCGCGCGGGAGGGCGCTGCCGCGGGGTGGCAGTCGCAGCGGGGTGGGGAACAGATGCATTGTGTTTTGGAGTGAGCTGAGGTCGGTAGACAGATTGGGTCAGCGGGAGTGTGCGGGGGCAAAATCCCGCGCGTGGAGATGGTGGCCCCGCCAGCAGCAGCTGCCTGCCAGTGGCGACTGGAGGAGTCTGGACACCGCTATCTGGCGAGGTCGTTGCTGGGCCAGGTGGGATCGGCAGGCCGTTTGCGCCATGGGGCGGGGGGCCTTTCTTTTTCCCCCTTCCAATCAGGCTGGCAAGCCTCCTCCTTTCAACTCTTGGCCCCGCGAGGCGTGCCGGTTGACGTGGATGTGCCTGTTCCAGCAGAGGGTGCGGATTTCAAAATCGGCTTGGATAAGCTGGGTGGCGATTTCGCGCGCCAATATCCCCCGGGAATTGCCGTGCATTTCGATCGGGGCACCTCGAACGCGCCCGAGCAAATCGCGGCCGCCCGGGGGCCGTGCCGATCGAGGCCCAGCAGTGATCGTGCCGGCGTCTGGTGCGGAGCCTGGGGGGGATCTCACGCCGCCCCAGGTCGAGGTGGCCATCTTGCAACAATTTGGGGGGCCCTCGAATTCGCTGCCCGAGGCGCTGGCGCAATCGGCGCGGGCAGGGCTGGATGCGAGCGGCGCCGTGGATCGGGTTCGCCGCGGGGGGTCGCGGCGCAGACGAGCAGGGGGGACAACGGGGGTAATTGGCGAGGGCGGCGGGCAGGATGAAGAGCGCGCGATGGGGAAGGGGGGGGGCGCTACCGGAAGGGGGGGGGGTGGGGGGGGGGGGGGGGGGGGGAAGGGGAGAGGAACAGGGGGGTCCACGTCGTCGGCGGCAATGCGGGGGGCGTTCTTGCCGGCATACTCGCAATTCGCAGCGGCGGCAGCCGCGCGGGCCGCGGCGACGTCATCGGCGCGCGATGGCGCGCGGGGCGTTTTGCCATCGGCATTCGCGCGATGATGGTGCAGCAAGCAAATGAGAGCATGGATCGCAGAGATGTCGCGCGGCACGTGGCCCTTTGCATCGGCGAATCGGCCTGTAGCTTCGCGCGGCTCTGGCCCACCTCCACTGGTTTTTCGTCGCCTCATCGCCCCGTCCCCCTCGTCCCGAGGGCCCGTTCTCAGCGGCCCCATCGAGGCCGTTCTAGCCGCCGCCAGTCATGTTCTAGTCGACCCCCTCTCCGCCCTCTGCACCCCCTCGTCGCCCAGTGCAGCTCTCCAGGCGACGTCGCACGCCTGCCCCCTCCTTCTCCCCGCGCGCGGGTTTCAACGGCCCCGTCGTCGATTTCCTGGCGCCGTCGTTCCTGCCAGTGGCTGCGCTGCTGCTCCTGCCCCTGTCTCTGCCTTCCGCCGCGTCGCCGCCGCTGCTGCCGTCGCAGATGCGGCGTCGGAGATATGCAGATTCGGCGGAATTGCGCCGTCGACTCGCCAGCGATGTTCGAGTTGTCCGGAGTGGATCTCTCATGGGCGGTCGCGCGCAGTTGGGTTTCGCGCGTGCCGCGTTCCACTTCGCTCATCCAGCGAACGGTTTCTGCGCGATGGTACAACGAATGCAATTCCCCGTCTTTTTTTCGCAGCATTTAATTTTCTAACATGCTCATGCAAGTTAATTTGTTTTTGGATTCCCAGGCTGTCCACGAGTAGCTGCCTTCTAACGCTGGTCATGCTCAGGGCCTGTGCTGGCGACATCGGCGGGGTCCTCTGCCCCCTCTGCAGCCTGCCGGAACACGAGATGACGATGGGCAATGCGGCCAACCGCGACGCTGCACCCGACGACGGCCACGTGCAAATTTGCTCCGCTAGAAGGCCGATTTGACCACCAGTTGGAGGAGAAGGCGAGCGCCGCCATGCAATGGTCGACGCCCTCGCGAGAGGACTTCGCGGTGGTCAGCAGCCTGATCTCTCTCGAATGCTGGTTGGGCCCGTCGGCAGACCACGCCCTCGACTGGGGGGCGCCTTAGCAGAAGTTCAAGCGCCGTGCGACAGCGCTCATGGGCGCAAGCGTGCGGCTCTACAACGCCCGCGCGATCTCGACCCTCGGCGTCGTCGCCCAGCTCGCGCCGCTACCCGCTCGCTCCACTTCCGGGGATGCCCCCCGCCAGCTAGTCGACGCGGGCAGACATGGAGGGGGGC